CACACACACACACACACACACACACACACACACACACACACACACACACACACATACGCATGCACGCACACACACACAGCTGGCTCCTTAACGATTTTTCATGTTCTGACTTGGGGGGGTGGGAATAAAAGGGACTAAATCACTTTCTTATTGTTGGTAAAACAAAAGGCGCGCGCTGTCGGGATGTGCTGATTGTAGTTAAATTAATCGATAGAAATAACAGTTGAGATTTACGGGCATGCAAAGAAAAGAAGCTTTTACTTCCTGCATGGGGTTAAACTGCCGCGTGAAATCGCTTTAGTGGCTTTTAATCACAGATTACAGATTGAACTAAAGTTTTATTAAGAATTGTCACTTGTGTAAAAAAAAATAAAATAAATTAAAAAAAAAATAAACTGCCCTGCCGACGGCTCAAGATCCCCTTTGTGCTGAGAGTTACAACTTTGGGGGTGAAAAAAGTTGACTTCAATCTTATCTCTGCCTTCACCAAGTCCTCTGTGCAGAACCAGGGATTCTGACCCAGGGGTCTCCAAGTTCCCGCACGATTAACCCTTCCAGACCCGCGCTGGAGCAAAGGTTAACCAGACTAATCAACTCCAAGAGTCTCATTGAATTAGATGATGCTGGAATCAGAACTAGACTGTCCCACTCCAAAAACAACTTTATTATAGCCCAACTCAAATCTGCATGACTATTAACTTAATATGTTGCTTTCTTACTAACAGATTAGCAGTAGCTCTTAGAAAATACCTTTTTTTAAACAGGTATAAAAGCTTTTGTGCTTTTTTATTTATGACGATTTTGCTCATGTCATTGCATCTTTATCTGTTTTATATGCAAACTTTAATTTTGCCAGCAAATGTTTTAGATGTTTTTTTTTTTCAAATTTTTTATGGACAATCTGTTGTTAAAAAATGTGTGTATGTGTCTGTATATATATATATATATATATATATATATATATATATATATATACACACACACACATTATATATACAAAGTCTAAAATCTGAGTTTTTTCAGCTTCATGTTCAGGGAGTCAGCTGCGGTTTCAACCTCTACATTATATCTATCTACAATAGTTGAAATAAGATGAAGAAAAAAGTCAGTGCAATAAATACTTAATTTAAAACTTTCTTAAAATGATTCCAGTGCAGATGTTTTTCTTCTTTTGGCTGCTCCCTTCTTCAGGGGTCATCAAGGTGAACTAACTCGCTCAAAGACTTGGCAGCTGTTTGTACACTGGATGCCCTTCCTGAGGCAACAGATCTCTGAGCTACCACTGCTCTCTGTGTGGAGCAGAGAGCTGCCATAGGGTGCTCGGGGAGCAGATGGTGGGGGTTAAGGGCCTTGCTCAAGGGCCCAGAGTGGAGGCAAATGAGGGTGGAGACAGGTGTGGGTGCTTCACTTTTTCCCACATTTGCTGATGTCGGTCCAGGGAGTTGAACCGGCGACCTTCTGATCACAGGCTCACCTTCTCTATTATGTTTATAGTTTGACATTCAGTTTCAATCAGGCTGTTTCTCGCTCAGTTTGTGCGATGAAGTCGCTGCTTTTATTTACAACAACCATTTCTTGTCCTAAATATAAAATAGATAGTGTTATAATTATTATGCTACAATAATTCTAGTATTATTTAAACATATTCAAACATATTTATGGTTTATGATATATTCCACCTAAAAGCTGCAACCGAAAACACTTTACGTGAACAGTTGCAGCATGCGTGCCTACCTTTAGCATGCAGCCTGTCAAGAAACAGGATTAAAACATGTAGTGTAGAAAGACATATGAGTTAAACCGTTCACGCAGTATGTTTTGCCTGCGTGCTCCAAGGGGAGGGCTGCTGTCTAAAATGGCAACAGATCCCAGAGACATAACTGACTTCAATTTGCCAATGACCAATTATAGAGCCAATTTAAATAGATAGGAATCAATTTGTCTCAATGAACACTTGTCGGCCAGCTGCCAGCATCATCCTCTTAATGTATTTGCAAATACCTATTGTTTGAATTATTACTGCTGGGTTCGAAGCGATCCAAACTGCAAAGGGAAAGTTGAGTGGTGTGAATGGGGCTGTTGTTTTGGCGGCTGAAGACTGCATGGACGGCGGAGTCATGACGAGTACTTCAGGCTGCAGCATTGTAGCAGCAAATGGCCACAGGGTCAATAATTTAACTCTAAAGATTCGCTGGGAAAGTCTGGATGGGGTAGGGGGGAGGAAATTGTGTGATAAGTGCTGTCTAACC